TCTGCACTAAGTGAATTATAAACGGAAAGCGACATAACATTTATAGAAGCACCAAGATCACATATAGCACGTTTAGTTCACACCTTGCCAATTTTACAATGTATAACAAACATACCTTGATCCTTTAATTTTGGTGGAAGCTTGCATTGAAAAATAACTGAAATATTTTCACCTAAGTTTAACTTTTCATTACAAGTGAGTTTCCTTTTAGTTGTGCAAAGGTCTTTCAAGAATCTAGTGTATCCCGACACATTTCAGATTACCTCAAGAAGTGGTATATTTATCTCCACATTTAAAAAAAACTTCAAGAATCTCCTTCTCATCAACTTGTTTATCGCGTTTAACCAATCTTGATGGGAAGGGAGACGGAACGACATAGGGAGATGGTGTAGAAGAAATTGGCTATTTATCTTTATTTTTTCTTTGAGATCTTGCGTCAACCTCTTCTTTTTCTTTTTAGGATCTTGATTCTTTCTCTCTTTCTCCCATGCGTCAACTTCCTTCTTTTGGGAACTTGCGACAACATCCTTAGGAATTGTTGCAATAACAGTGCAGCTTCGAAGGGTGATGGCGCTAAAATTTTCATGTGGATTCGGCTCAGTTTAAGATGATAACTTTCCTTGGGACTCTGATCGACTCACATCTTGTGCTAGTTGGCTCATTTGTTTATCAAGCTCTTGAAAGTGAGCTTCAATCTTGATTTGAAAATTCTCCTGCAATATCACCAATCACTCCGCAATCGCCTCCAATGATGATTTTTATGGTTTATACAGCTGAGGTGGAGATAGTCTCAGTTGATATGCTTGGTTTGGCCTTGGGTTTTGTCCATAGTTGAAGTTTGGGTGATGCCTCCATCCTGGATTATAGGTATTTACTTTAGGATTATAAGTTCTCTGGGGAGGTCCTGAAAAATTATAAACTGCATTTACTTGTGTGGCATTATCTTCTTGTAGCACCGGACAACAATCTGTGGGATGGTCTGACATCGTACATATTCCACAAAGTCTAACAGTATTTGTTTTGCTTGTAACAAGAGATTGAACTATATTAATCAACTTATCAGTTTTATTTTCTAATGAAATTGTAATTATCTCGTGAAACCGTCGAGTAAGTTCACTAGAAGAGTCAAACTATTAAGAGTTGGCTGCCATGGTAGAGATTAATTTTCTGTCCGCATTCGGAGTCATATTAACGAGTGCTCCTCCATTAGCATTGTCAATCATCTTCATCTCTAAAGGAAGTAGGACTTCATTGAAGTACTAAAGGAGTGTTTGCTCCGATAGTCCATGTTCCGGGCAGCTAGCACAGAGTTTCTTAAATTGTTCCTAATAGTCGTATAACGACTCTCCATCTTTCTGTCGCACTCCTAGGATGCTTCTTCTCAGTTCACTCGCTTTCGCCTTAAGGAAGAACCTGTCAAGAAAAAGACGAGTCATATCACCCTAATTATTAACATAATTATGAGGTAAATAGAAAAGCCAGTCCTTAGTTAATTCGACTAAGGAAAAAGGAAAAGTGCGAAGTTTAATCCGATCCTCAGATACTCCCTGTGGTTTCAAGTTAGAACAGACCATGTGAAATTCAATAAGGTGCTTGTGAGGATTTTCACTGGGCAGCTCATGGAAAGTAGGTAGAAGATGGATCAAACCCGTTTTGAGCTTGAATGGTGTTTCACCATGAGGGATGACGATGCATAATTGTTGTTGAACGACAAGTGTCGCAGCAAGTTCCCGAATCGTTCGATCACCCATCAGAACTGGTTCTTCATTGAATTCAAAGTGTGTCTCAATGTCTGAGGGTGTTTCTAGATTTATGGGTTTAATTTGAACTGTTATTGTTTATGTTTTCTTTCTCAAAATGTGTGTGCGTGTGTTCTTTGGGAAAATGCTTTGATTTCAAGATAACAATCTACTAGCTCTCCGAGATTTCCTCTTGGTCATAAATCAAAACAAATTTTAATCAGTAATTTTACCGAAGTTTCCGGTAACTGTTCCAATTTGATAAGCGTCATAATTGTCAAATAAATAAGCCTTTTTCTCAGATAAATAAGCTAAGAACATAATATAGAGAAGAAAAGGATCGATTTGCGAGGACTTAGAAGTTTCCAATGTCATTTTGAATTGATCTTTAACCAAGAAATCTGTAAGAGGAAAATAAAAGGTATTTAGTAAAATAAAGAGAATAAATTGAAACAAAGTAAAACAATAAAAACAAGAAAAGTAAACGGTTGAAAATAATTATGATGAGAGATAGCCTCTAGCTTCTCTTTGCCTCAATTGTCTTGATCAATGAAATAGATTTTACTTCGGATACTTGTCGGTTACAGTCTACAAGGCCCAACCCTTGTAACTTACTCTTCTCTCTGGTGAACTAATTTTCCAAAGCCAATCCTTGGAATTTAACCCTTGTTTGGATTAATATCGACTATCGATGTTAATGTCAATATTGTGTTTTGGTACTAGAAAAGCCCATGCTCGGATTATGGTGTATCGATGAGAATTGAATCCGATTTTGATTTTTCTTAATGGGTCATCACTAATTTGTTCTTAGGGAGATGAATTTACTACAAGCCGACTCTTCTCCCAACGGTAGATCACAACGTCGATCAAGTAATGTGCACTCTTTGGATTGAAAGTATTGAGATGTTTGATGGAAATACCGATTGTCAATCCTTTATTGCCGAAAATCAAGAAAGAAATCTGAAGATGTGAAGCACTTTTTCAATTCTCACGAAACAGATTGAGTCGTTGCTCAGTTATCTGCTAAATGAAAGTTTAGGTAAGCATGATAGAAATCATACTTAGCATATAGAAGAAATAAAGAAAAATAAAGAAGATAATCCTAAGAACATTCAAATACTTAAATACTAAATAATAGCAATCCAAAATCCTAAATAATAGAGAGATCATTCCTAATTAAAATAATAGTTCCCAAACATTTAAATCCAATTAAAATTCTTCATTCTTAATTTCTAAAGAGTTTTCATCTGCCCGGCCTTCCTCCTTGATTTCGCTGACTGTATCGTCTTCTAGAAGTTGACGCTGACTGGACTGCAGATTCTACCACGTCGACATCGTCATACCCAAAGTCATGCCTATATGCCCAACCTTGATTCTAGAAAATAAAAAAATACGTAGAATTCACCTTTTAAATGTTGTTTACTGGAAAATAGCCTTGCACAGAATTGAACATAAAATGACCTAAATTAGTACTATTTAAGAGATAACACGAAGTAATTTGCAACAAAATATTAACAAAATAAAACACTCATAAGAGGGTATTGTCATGATATGAGAAGAAGAAAGGAGACTCGACGAGAAGACTTTGGGGATTGAGTAGAAAAGGTTAGGGATTGCATATGAAGGATTGGAAATATTTTCCTGGGGGACACGTGAGAAGCACGAGGAAATTATAATGAAGTCACAAGCATGCCATGCTGATTGGAAACAATCCCATAAGGTGGAACCCAACGTACCTGCAAAGAAACGTTTAGTTTGTTATACAAAGGACAGTCAGCTGGCATTTTCATAGATTCCAGTACCTTGTAAACAAATAAAACAGTGTACTCTCAGATAATGATTCATGCATTTTGTGAATGAAACTTTTCTTTCGTAAAATCTCTCTCTTTTTCTTATTACGTCTAAGAAATTCTCAGAACAATTTAAGGTTATAACAGGGATCCACGAGCATCTTTGTCACTCGAGAAGATGGATCTAGGACATTAGGAGAAATGGTTCTTCTTCCAAGGGATACTACACTATGATTATCAATATTTCCACTTCAATCTCGTAACTTTTATTGTTTCACTTTCAATTCATTCCCGGAGAAATCTACTACTTGTATTCGGTGATTTATCTCAACTTTTACAGTCCTCTCTCAGAGATTTGAGGAGGAAATCACATTCGTCTCTCATAACTTGCAAAGGAAATAGCACAAGAGTTTACAAATAATTCATATATTTTTTCATTTTCACATCAATAGCTTTTCAGAAGTTCATAAGTTTGTAACCACTAAACTTTCGATGTAATAGCAATTATTATGCTTGTGCATATTTAACTTTAGAGTTCTCAATCCTACGATTAGAGTTCTCCCTAGCGTCTGATGAAGCGTTCTTACTACTATATTACTTTATTTACATATACTTACAATATATTTACTCATGCTAATTGCATACTACACATACTAATTACACATATCATCTCATTATTTAAGAACTTTTCTGTGGGGTTGAATAGGAACTTATCGCTATGTATTTGAGATTGCACACGCTTTTCCTTGCATCCTTGATACGTCGCTGGGTTACATGTACGTCATTTCTACTTCTACAAATTGGCACCTTCTTCGGATGATGTTTTCTATCCATCTTTTCATTGTTAGATTGCTTGCATGTCAAGTTTGTTGGCTCTCTTTTACAGCTTCGCATCCTTTATCAATGCTTGTATTCATCTTACTCTATCTTGAACTGGGTTGGGACTGTAAGTGCTCATCTGACCCTCTTTAAAGTAAAATCTTCTTTGGGTTAGGATTTGGGGATGTTTAGACTTTCAGAACGGGGTTGCTTGTTTTAATTTTCTGTTATTCAATTAATTCTTTCTGGTGAGAGAGAAATCCACGCTTACCGCACTATTATCGATGTACATCGGGTGATGTGGTAGCTAACAGTGGTTTTTATGGTGGGAAAGGATGTGGTTAAACCGGCGATCTGTGATTTTTCCATTCTAATTTGGATGGAAAATCATTGATCGATTATGTTATAAAAGTCGGGGCAGAATGGATTCTCTCCTTGATAGGAAAAGAGAAAGAAAGGGAAAGAGCTCTTTTTTATGCAAATCAATCAAGTCATATGAGTTATTCGTTATCGTGTTTCACTGATGACTTTGAGGCCGCTTTGGAGTTGCAGAGTGTAGCAGAGGGTATTACAGATCACACATATGAATACACTTCTCACAGCAGATTGAGAAAGGTAATGACATTCAGAAATCAATATCTTTGACCCCAAAGCTGAAATTCAAGTATATTTCTCATTTACATGCTATAATAAGTAGTTGAAGGAGTAGGCATCCTGTTCAAGTGTCTCAAAATATTCTCAGCCACCTGCTTCATACTATCATTCCCATTCTCAAAAACACTAACCAGTGAAGCAGGCAGTAATCTGTCCTGTGATATATCAGGAACTGACTTATTTCCACCTGTCACTATGAATTTCTCAATCATCCAAAGAGATTTCTGCCATAGACCCTCTTGTTTATGCTCTTTCAACACATTGAATATATATTGAATGGCATTCATATCACTCAACAGGCTCACACTCTTGACTACATCAACCTTATCATCCAACAAAGTACATATAGCTTCCATCGAAGCTTCGACGACTTCATCATTGTCATGGTCGAAGCATACTAACAGCCTTTCTACAGCATTGGCATCTATCAAACAAAATGTGGTTTCATGAGAACAGACACCTCTATGAACTGGACATAGAATTGTTGTCTTTCTGGTGTCTAATGACCGGTAAGACAAGAAATTCGGTAGGTAGAATCGTTTTTTGGACTTGGATTTCTTTACCTGTGGTGGCCTTGATAGATTTACAGACTCTGATGAGAGATTCCCCAGTCCAATGGCAGACAATCTTTGGACTTCATCACTGGATTTGCTGATGAGAAGTTCAGTGAACACCAATGTCAAGTTGTGAGTTCTTGCTAGGTACATGATCTGTGGTTCATACAATGTAGTTGTGAATCTAACAAGGATTCCAACAAGACCCTCTAAGTAAACAGTTGTATGCCGGCTTGTAATCGTTCCATTTCTTCGGATAGCCGAGATTGTCCGAAGAATCACGGGGACGACGTTGTTGTTGAGAAGAGCAAGGTTGAGTGTGAGATTCTGTTGGGGTAGTGTCGCCAGGAATTTTGCAGAAACAGCCTGCTTCTCTGTAATGTGGTTAGTTTTGTCGGGACATTCGATTAAACTCTGAGGCTGTCCCCCAGTTTTGCAGAGTCTTTCAGCTAGTGTGTTACCGACATGTGGTGTGAGCGAAATGAGTAGCTTGATGACAGCGATCCTGAGCTCTTCATGTGGGCTATTAATGAGTTCAATCAGGGTATAGCTTGCTTCCCTCTCATTCACGACATCGACAATTGTATCCATCGATTTGGGTGACTTTGTTAAGCACAACAGAATCCTGATGAGATCGATGTTGAGAGCACCCAGAGTTGAGTTCTTAAGCATGTACATAATGTTGTAAACAACATAATCAGAGCTAATTCCGTGGCCAAGAGTAGTCACTTTGATGCCGTCAAGTTCGACCTCAGATTCAAGAACATTTGCAAGTATCGCAGCAGCCTCTTTTTTCGAATCCATCTGTTGGTCATTTATCTCACGAGTGAACATTTCTTCAGCCATAATTTCGACAATGCCGGCTTCGACAAGGATCCTTCCATTTGGATGATGAGTCGAGATTTGTACTAGAGCCTTAAATGCTGCATTTCGGAGAACGGTGTTCGCACTTTGCACCATTTGAATCAGACTTGGAGAAGCCTTCTCAGCCACATAGGTTTTACCGTCATTATTAAGAATGAGTTCCCCCAAGTAGCAGGTCATTTCCATTTGAAACTCCTCAGGACCTGCTCATTTAACCATGTAACCTTAATCAGCAGGCTTATGCTAGACTTCGAAACATGCTCGATTCTTAACCGAACCGGTATGTATGTATGTATGTATGTGTGTGTGTATATATATTCTTGGAGTTTTCATATCGGGGTGTTACCTTCGGTTAGATGATTTAAAAGAGGTTCCAAGAATCCATATTCTGCCATCCGCTTTACGTTATCTGGAAATGTCTCCAGGCTCTTCAAATTTCATCTGCTTTTTCTGAAGCAAAGGAATCGACATTATATGTATGTGTTGTGTGTTATATATCTCTTGGAGTTTTCATATCGGGGTGTTACCTTCGGTTAGATGATTTAAAAGAGGTTCCAAGAATCCATATTCTGCCATCCGCTTTACGTTATCTGGAAATGTCTCCAGGCTCTTCAAAATTTCATCTGCTTTTTCTGAAGCAAAGGAATCGACATTATGATCGGATTTAACTCGGATCAGCATCAGAATTGCTCCAGTAGCTGATCCAATTTTTTCACTCAAAGCTTGAGTTCTTGAAAGCTCAACCAACAATAGCAATGATGCATGCCTAATTTCCTGGTGGCTACTTGATATCAACTCAATCAATGCCCATGCATCCATTGTATTAGCAATCATTTCCTGCATAAAAAATTTATATATGAAGCAGTTCATACGGATAAGGTTCAAATAGCAGGAAATGTGTAAGAGGCAAACCTTTACTTCATCATCTTCCTCGGCCAATTGTCGTAATAGTTCTAAAGCTTCACATCTGACATCTTTGTCTAGGTATGCAAGTAACCTAATAACCAATGGCAATATTCCAACACTAAGTGCTTTATCCTTATTATACCGTCTCCTTTTGCAGAGGTGTTGCAGATCTATTATGGCTTCTAGTATCATACTATCCGAACTAGCCAACGATAACGAGGTTCGGGCGACTTTGATCCTTGCAGTTTCATTCCTCTCCTTCCACTCCTCTATTGTGGTCTTTAGAGAAACATTGGTGCTTAAAACTTTGCTTGTTAGCTTCATCCCTGTGGTTGGACAAATCATATCGTCTCGATGACCAAAGGTTTCGAACCACTCGGTTATTGCCTTCCGGTCATATGTCACTCCATTTTCGATGGTAACTGGATCATCCATAATCTGCTTAGTCAACGGACAGAAGAACGCGTCGTACATCGGTTCGATATAGTTAGCTACATGTGGCAGTGTTTCCATAGATTTGTCCCTGTTCTCATGCTGCAATTGGCTTATCTGATTTGTAATCTTATGGATATCAATCAAGTGAGGCATACTAAAAACTGGAGAACTCTCTGTGGACGCCGATTCTTCATCGTCCACAGGGTAAAGATCGAATTCTCTCGGGCTCGTTAATGATTCAGGACTCTGGATTTGCGGTTCAAAGTGTACTTTCTGCAATTCATCAGAAAGAGACCGGACAGCATTTTCGACATACGTTGCACCCTCGAATGTCCCGGATGGTATGGAACACAAACATTCACCGATATCTTTGATCACCCCTTCTAGTCGAGCTATGATCTTTACAAGTTCAGAATCTGAGACTGAAGGGTTCTTTTTATGGCATTCTCCAACAAGATCTTTAGCCAAATTGACATTCATGGAAATGGATTCCACAATCTCTTTTGCATTTTGGGGTGGATTCTTAGCAAACTGCAACTCCATTATCAACGGAAAAACTCGATAAAGATAGCATCTGAATTCGACAAAGATTTCTTGCTCAGCTTCTACAGATTCTATGATTGATGAAATATCTGCCGACAAAGATTCAAAACCACCAGCAAAGGATGTTCTGTTCATCTGAAAAAAAATAACAAAAGGGGTTAATCTTTAAAGAAAAAGGAAGTATTTCATGCTAATATGAAAGGGTTATTCGATCTGGGAAAAAAAAACTTGAATAAAAACAAAAAATAAACTTGAAAGTGAAGAAGAAGGGTTTTGAAAAGGCTCGTACCGACATCAAACCAGAGCTAGAACGTCTTGTTTCTTAAGGATCTTCCTCGTATTAAGCAAAAGTTGCAGAACCACGGTACCTCAGGCATATTTACATATATTGTGTGCGTGTATATATCAATATCATGTCATCGTCCTCAAAGTGGACGGTTTTAATTTCTTGACATGAAAGTCAAAGCACATGCACGCACTCAGACTATCTGCATATATTTATCTATCTTTTTATGTGCATGAGTTACATACAGGCAAAATTCCTTACATAATGTTAAAGAAAAAATTTACTCACGTACTTAATTAGGGTAAAATAGATAGTACACGAGTAAGACATCGAACCACTTAACATCTTCAGGGCATTGTTTGAAAGATTCGATGTCTTTCTCAGGCTACATACAGTCAGACCACCAACTCAGTCTCTAGCATAGTAACCAAAAAGCCGTCGTATCTGTCAAGTATTCTTCCAAAGATATCAGGTGGCCTGGTTTTCAATTTTTCATATATAGTCCATGCATGCATATGAGTATCATGTATATATATGGATATGATGAAAGGCATATTGATGGTTTTCAATTTTAGATTTGATAGCAAGACCTATAGAATTTGATGACTTGTTAATTTGGGAAGTGGGCAAAAGGTTCAATGTTTTGTTGGCTTGGAAACTCCGTCAGAACGACGAAAGACTGTGCGACCTTGAATTTCAGCATCTAATCAAACATAATGAAAAGGATATGAATTAATTAGTGGTTGGGTTTCTTTGCTTTTACACAAACACGCATTTAATATACTCTAATCAACAAGTCTAAACAAAGAAAAAACTTAGTCTGATCAACAATTAAATAAGTTGACATTAAATAGTTGCAATGAAATCGAAGACAAAAAAAAATCTAATAAATTATTGGGTATAGCATATAAATAATAGGATAACGTACACAAACCATCACTCGATTATAAGATATTGTTTTATGCAGTCCTCCGACTATATATAAAGAGTTATAAAATCATCTCTCGAGTCCCTCGACTATTTACAAAATGATCATTTAACTATTCGTTATTTTCCAAAGTCTTCTTTTTTCGTTAAAAAATGGACAACAATCTAAACTGGAAGTTAACATACTGGTTGAAATATGATAAAATATGATATCATAATCTCAAACAACTATCAGATCTCAGTCTACTTGTTAACATTCAGCTCAGATGACTGTTAGTTTTTTAACGAAAAAGGAAAAACTTGGAACATAATGAATAGTTAGGTGACCATTTTGTAATTTTTAATAGTCGAGGGACTCAATAAAGTAGCTCTATATAATTGAGAGATCATTTTATAACTTTTAATAATCGGATAACTTAATAATATAGTACCCTATAGTCGAGGGACTTTTGTGTACTTTACCCTAAGTAATATTGTAAGATATTGTTTATTAAGTTTCTCACCATTTATACCGATAAATTAAATATTATATCAGCAATAAGCTTTATTGATAAACTGTAGTTAATATGTCTGATTTATTTTGAACTGTAGTTAATATTTTTCTCACTATATCACCAATAAGCATTATTAACAAAGTGGGTAGTGGTTTGTGGGCTCCAGGAACTATCCAATTGTGTAAAAAGAAAGCTACCTAAAATCATATTTTATAAACAAAACGTGTCAAAGTTGATTTTTTTTTTCATTTCCATGGTCTTTTATTTGGTTAAAAGTAATCTGAAGATTTGTATCTATCAATTGCTCGGCCAAATTGTAAATTTTTTTAGGGTATGTCACATAAATAATTACTGATATTTGAATAAAATTTTCTTTTTCTTAATGATTTTTCAAAAGTAATAATTTGATCATCAACGCTATCGATTATAATAAATCAATCAATCGTCATGAATTGTCATTATCTTGGCATTGTAAAACTTACCTTTTTTTTTCTTGTAGCCTTTGGAATTCCCCCTACCACCTTGTTCAAAGTCTTCAGCTTTCAATAGATTACATTCTTGGAACAAAACCTCGCCTGTAGGAGTATACTTCCCTACCATAAAATGACGTTTTAAATAGTGATTGAACGATTTATTATGAATCAATGACGTTATTGTTAAATAGTTACTTCTAATCATTGAAAAAAATTGAAACTCACTCAAATATTAGCGATCATTTATATAGTTTATCATTTATAAATATTTATGATTATCACAAATTCAAAGTGATTTTATTAGGTCAATTATGTCGTGATTTGATGTTATTATGCGATGTTCCTATTCTTTCAAGAAAATCTGTGAATTGTGATAAATATATATATAAAACCCGAAGAGATTATGCTTCGTAGAATTTGGAAAAAATCGAAATTCACTCAAACATTAGCGATCATTTATATAGTTTATCATTTATAAATATTTATGATTATCACAAATTCAAAGTGATTTTATTAGGTCAATTATGTCGTGATTTGATGTTATTATGCGATGTTCCTATTCTTTCAAGAAAATCTGTGAATTGTGATAAATATATATATAAAACCCGAAGAGATTATGCTTCGTAGAATTTGAACTCATTGCCTTAAAGCTTAAATACTGTTTTTATAAGCACTAGCATCGAACACACTCACTCTAGAAATATATTATTGATAGTTGGAGGTTGAATACTAATTGTTTTTGTTTAAAAATATTTGGACAACATATTAAGTACAGTTCAAAAAGAAATAATATTTAATGGTGATATAATAGCATACCATTTATTATCATTAAAATCAGATATATTTTTAATCAAAATAACCACATAACACAATGTCATTAATCAACAATTTTATATAAACAAAGATAATAATTTAAACTAAAATGAATAAAAATAAAAATAAAATTAAAACTAAAGGAACAGGTTAAGAAAAATTATTGGGTAAACTATGCGTTTAGTATCTAAACTATTAGTTTTGATCCGTTTTAGTATCTAAAATTCTAAGTTTTTCAAAACCATACCTAACGTTTAGTATTTATTTCATTTTAGTACACCAGCCATTAAAAACTTAACACGTGTAGTACCTAAACTATTGATTTCGGTCCGTTTTAGTACCTTAACTTTCATTTTTTTTCCGAAACTTAATGTTAAGTTTTTAATGGGTACTAAAATGAAACAAAAACTAAACGTTAGGCATGGTTTTGAAAAAATTAAAAGTTTAAGTATTAAAATTGATCAAAACCTGATACTTTAGATACTAAAGGTATAATTTACCCAAAACTATTTACCGACCCAGTAAAAGAGACATATTTTAGAAGGAACAGTGCGTTACTGAAACCATTTTATTTAATAGGAAAAATATGCTTCTACATTTGCACAAAACTCTTTGAGATTTGAAATATACAAGGGAAAAAATAACACACACCAATGAATATGATCCCTCTAACTCCAATCAGCCTCATAGTGATGATGATGATGATCTAGATGCTTATTGAAGTGGACTTGGCCTATATCATTTGCTCAACCAGTTGTGTACCTAGTTTCAAGAGCATCGGAGCTGTTCTTGGTAGTTTATTTCTTTGAATCCTTCCTCAAGACCCGTTTTGGAGATTTTAGTGGCTCTAGGCGAACTAAAAAATTAAGCCCCTAATCAAAGATTTAAATTACAATTTACATTTATGTATTAGGTCGCATTATGTTTATCGCTATTATAGGCATAGCAGATGATATTGCAGTCACTGTAAATAATGTGATTTTGAATTTTTAATGACATATACTATTGTGGATATCGTATTTTTGGATGATGTTGTTACCACTGTATAACAGTCATTCTTATGTTTACAAATCGTTATTTAAGTAATTGTTTATAATAATATATATTGAAAAAAACTTTAAGGGTACCTCCATAATAATACGTATTGAAAAAAATGAGTTCCTAATAAAAAATATTAAAAAAATAAATTTTAAGAGTATGCTCATAATAATAAATATTAAAAGGTTTGGACCTCTAATAAAAAATATTGAAAAAAATATTAAAAAATTGAATTTTAAATAACAAATATTGAAAAATTAGACTCTGATAATAAGTATTTAAAATTGGGCCTTTTATAAAAAAATATTAAAAAAATTATTGACAAAAAATTGGACACTTGTAAAAATATTAGAAAAATAAATTATAAGAGTAGATCCTATTAATGAATATTAGGAAAAAAATGAACCCTAATAACAAATATTAAAAATAATTGAACCTTATAACTAATCAAATAACCACTTATGAGTTTGACACTGATATAACCATCATACTTTTAATTTTGACAATACGACCTTATAATTATTTAAGTGGTTTCAATAAAATCACTAGTCGTTAAAATTTAACGGAGCAATTGATGTGACAGTTAATAAAATTAGTATAGTTGCATATTTAATCCTCATAACTTATATTTTCTCTCAATTTAATTCTAATTTTAATTTCATTCAATAAATTTAATTATTCAATCAAATTGTTATACATTTCACCACCTGATGATTTATTTTCATTTCAGTCCAATTAATTTATTAAGAATAGCCTCCGCACACCTGAACCACTGAGCCGCCTTTTCATATTTGATAATTATATATCTTGTTAAAGATAAAGACAGGAAAAAACGAAGATGATTTAAATTGTATTTAAACCAAAGACTTTTTTTAATACAAACAGCTAGTATTATTAGAAAGTGAAAATATCTTAAATTAAAATAAGAGTTTATAACTATTATCATAAATTAAATACATAATTTGGACTTTTCCAATAACATTGAAACTAGTCACTTTAGATCATATAAAGACTATACATGAAAAAGGTTAAAAAGCCAACCAAAAGACTTGAACAAAAATAGATATAAATAAATCTGATAACATCAACAAACGAATCACCAAAGGGAATTAAGCTATTAAAAGTGCACCGAGAACTGAAAATCAGAGTCGAACGCCTTGAGAAACTATCCACAAACATAGAATCACGCATTCAAATTCAATCCGAATGTCCATAGCAGAGAATATCAACAAGATTTCAAATAATCGTCATCTTGATCAGTCGTGGCATCGTCAAATCCAACTCTGAGAAAACATAAAAGAACGAACAAACAACCGAGAAAAAAAAAAATAAAA